AGGCTAGAAGCAACCACACAAAAAAAAGTTTTTAAATTCCCCTAAAAAAAAAAAAAAAAAAAAAAAGCTTCTAAATTGCATGACATTTTGGCTCCCCTTTGCTGAATGTGTTCAAGGGAAGGTCAAACAGCCATCTGTTGGGGATATTTTAATTCCCACTCAACCAAATGTTGGGATTCAGAGGTGTAAATGGCTCCTTTCAGATCCATAATATCAATACTGACAGAAATTAAGAACAAAAATTCCTCTTTGAGTTATCTTCCTCTTAAAGTAGAGTAGCCCTAGATAACTTTTGACAACTGACCTTGCTCTTAAACTGGTGTCATTACTCCCTGGATTAGTAACAGGAAGAGATAAAATCTGCAGTTTCTAAGGGTTTATGAGTTGATACTGCTGCTTCCCTGAGATGGTACCTGAGTTTTTAACCTTCAGGAGAACAAGAAATTATTCCAGCAGGCTAGAAAAGCTAATTACTTTTAGCATTATAAGTCCTCAGCAGATCCTGCTTTACTCCACTGACTTTTGTTAAAACTGATTTTGCTTTCCTACTTGTCAGATTCTAGGAACAAATCTCTTCATCTGAACAAGCCAATAAATAAAAGGGTCAACTTACACCAATATGTGCTTTGAGGAAAGAATCAGGTAGCAAAGTAATGTTTAAGACAAGCCAGCCATGAAAGAAAATCCAGATAGGTCTGTGAAGTGTAGTGTGGATTTCTGCCATTCCCCTCTTATTTTTTGTGTGTGTATGTTTCTGTGACAAGTGAGTACACACTACTCCTCTCCTAAGTCTGCATTTCAAAAGGCAAACGTGGATTGAAGTAATGTTTGAAACAAGCCCTGCCAAATTGGCCACATGAGGTCCAATTCACATGTTATATAGGAAATACGTGCTGCAGACAAAGACCCCATAAATACACCACAGGAGCCCTGGTCAACTACAGGTTCTTGGTGTCATGCTCTTATATGCTCATCAGAAGGTCACCCTATTGCATCTACAAGCCTACATGCTATGTAAAGCAAGCATGGGCCCTGAATGTCCCCTTAAGGAGAATGTAAATAATCTTAAGAATTAATTTCCCATAGTAACAAGAAGTATGCTTCCCTCTGGCTACATGAAAGTAAGATGATTTCTGTTGATTGTCTACACTGACATACCCATATATGTAAAATGTAGGGTTACTAAGAATTGTGGTGATTTCTATCGCTAAGTGTATGAAGAGGGTGTATTTGGAAACCTGCCGTATTCATGAAAGAAAAAAAATATGCTGAGAGAGGAAGAGGATTGGGTTAGAAGAGCAAAACTGGGACATTTGGTGAAGCGGGGTATTTGGAATCAATAGTACTTTCTTCAAACTGTAATTTGCTCAGCGACCACTTTGAAGAATTGTAACTACAAAAAAGAAGTATCACCAATTCTTTTTTTTTTTTAAGAAAAGGGACTGCTGTTATTCCCCTCTTCTCTTTCATAAGTATTACCAAAATGTTTTTAAAGTCCCTGTATTAGAAATGGCTAAGAAACAGTGATTTCTTAAAGAAATAAAACCAGCCCTACAGAACAAAGAGTTCGAATAATGGAGAAAAAAAATTCACATGCACATCAGTGTTAGTTTTGAGCCATTCCCAGCAATTTTTGTTATCTTTCATTACTCCAACATGCTTGAACATTAAAATGCATGGCCAGGTGCCACATACATTTGCCAACACCTTCATCATCAGATTATGAACCAACAATGAAAATCACCAACGTAGACATGCTCAGGTGCATTCAACCAATTAAGATAACACAAATTAAAATAATGTTACTTATGAAAACACTAATAATAAAATAGTGCATTCCAATTACAGCCTAATGGAGAGAGTTTGGGTTACCTGCAGATCTTGGACACACACATTACCTGTTGCCTTTGGTAAGCAGAGAATGTTCTCTCAAGGTCTTCAAGATCCAACACCTTAAATACCTTGGCATCATCAATGCCAGTCCACACAGTGCCTTCCAGCTTATTCTGGGATGGTGGGAAGAAGATGGAAGAAGCATCACTATGACTTTTTCAACATACATTTCAATACATTCAACTGAAATCATATACTATAAATAGGGCTCATATATAACATTTGATGCAGTTATTGAAAATAAATGTGAAATGACTTTGATGACCACTCCAGGCAAATGAAATAATTTTAAATTGTAGAAAAATATAGCACTTCCAGGATAATTAAGGACATAAAGCAGCCCAGTTGGATCAGGAGAAGAAGGTCCCCCTTCTCTAGCATTATGTTTTGAATGGGAAGAGTCACTGGAAAAATTCATACAAGGATACAAAGGCAATGCCATCCCACGTTTATTCCCAGCATAGTCAGGTGAGAATTGATAATGGAAATCCAACCCCAAGATAATGGAAGCCCAGCCCCAATAATTTTTTTTTTTACTTCTACTCTTCTTAATTTATTTTAAACCTGGGAATCAATTTTGGTTTGAGGGGATAGCCATTATTAAAAGTGTACTTCCATTGCAACTATCTGCTTAATAAATAAAAGTAGTAATGCTTTTATTTGATTATCAACGCTTATTTCATTTGATTTTTGTCCTGCCCAACTCATATTTAAATCTTTCCTTTTAATGTGCCTCCCCTGTGTTGCAGTGTGAGCCATTTGAAGGAGGATGGGGCTCCTGGCCTGAACACTGTGTACCCCTGATCTACAATCAGCACCATTCATCAATCCTAAAGAGTAGAAGGGAATAGATTCCTTACCTCGGGCAACTTGGACCAGTTGAAGGACTTGAGCGCGTGTGTGGGCTGTGGGATGTTTTTCCTTTTGAGTGCTGAGCCCAAAGAAGACCCTGGAGCTGGAGTCAGGCCTCCAATG